CCTACAGTTCCCAAGAAACGCTTGACTGGAAATAGTGATTGTAAAAGCTCTATTTCCTCAAACTCATCAGAATCTTCAAGAAATCAAAGATTCTCAGGTGTTAATGCTCTTCAGGCACCTGTAGTTAACCAAGCTGTATTTATTACAATGAAGAACACATAAGTGGAGAACTAAGGGCTGTCTCAGTAAGAAGTTGTTAAGAAAGAATCTATTTTAGGATTTGGGCTTTGGTTGGTGACTTGAAGGAGAATCTAAGGAACTAGGGATTTACTCTCAATTGGATGTTGTCAGGCAGCCTGGGCAATTCTGTGACTGGACATCTCAATCAATCTATATATCTATTTTATCTAAGACTAGCCATAAGAATAAAGCTATAGTTTGTAAATAAGTAATAATCACTCACTGTGGCCAAGAGTGTGGCTGGCAGAGTGATCCTGTGTTTGTCTGTGCTTAGACAAACTTCTGAAATGCTTCGTGCCTGTGTGCATGCTAAGTTGATTCAGCCATATCCTACTCTTTGCGATCCTATGGACTGTAGCGCGCCAGAATCCTCTGTCCATGGAATTCTCCAGGCAAGAATACTGGAGTGGGTTGCCATGCCCTCCTCCAGGGGATCCTCCTGACCCGGGGACTGAACCTGCGGCTCCTTCATTGCAGGCATATTCTTTACTGCTGAGCCACTGGGAAAGCCACTGAGGTGCTTTGCTTTGTTTTATTTTATCATGGTTTCAGAGGGACCTTGTCTGAGGTTGATAGGAGACTAATACGTAATAGGAGAATTACATATTGTAATTGTAATTGTAATAGGAGAATAATATGCTTAACCGTGAATACTAGACCAGCTGCTGAGTGTCAGAGGCTTTTCCTTTTTAGAATTTTTCATTCAGATATGATGTCATTACATGATGTCATTATATGATGTCAGTACTTTTACAGAGAAGTATGTAAATGTTAAGTGAATTTTCATAAAGTCAACACACTGTGTCATCAGCATCCCACTCAAGAACATCACCAGCACCCAGAAGCCCCCTTTATGCATCCTTCAAATTACTAACTTCAAGACTACTCACTATCCTGACTTCTAACATCAAAGATTCATTTTGCCTAACTTTGAGTTTTAGATAAATGGAAACATACAGAATGAGCTTTTTGTTGCTAGGTTTCCTGGATTCTACACTATGTCTATGAGATTCATTCATGTGTTGTGTCTGACTTTAATTAATTCTTGCTGCTGAATAGTACTCTATTGTGTAAACACACTACAGTTTATTCTTATTACTGTTGGTGGACATTTGAGAATTTCCAGTTTGGAGGGATTAAGAATAGCACTGCCATGAATGTTCTAGTACACATCTTTCAGTGAATGCACGTATACATTCTTGCTGGATAGAAGCAGAATCACGTATGTTCACCTTTAGTAAATAGTGCCAAACATTTCCCCAAAGTGGTAGAGTCTGGGAAATTTACATTCCCACCAGTCATGTAAGAGATTTGTGCTTGCCCTAGTCCCCTGTTACACTGTTGCAGAATGTAGAAAAAGAAGGAAACTTCTAAATATATTCTACAAGGCTCCTATTACCCTGACACAAAATTGAAAAGGATACAACAGAAAGGAAAACTGTCAGTCATCTTTAAATAAGGCTGTAAAGATACTGAAGAAAATATTAGCAAGCTGAACCTAGAAATAAAAAACAAACAAAAAAGCATGACCAGGGCCAGAATGGGTTTATTCCAGGAACAGAAGTATAATTCAACCTTAAGAAATCTATTAACATAACACATTAAAATTTATATTAATTTATTATTATTGTTAATATAATTCATTAAGTTCCTATTAAATTATTAATATCATTGTTTATATAGTTCATTGACATAGAAGTTTATTAATCATTTATTTAAAAATTAAAGGGGAAAACATCTCCAGAGTTGTTGGGGAAAAAAAGATTGATAATACTCAATTCCCAATTCTAACAAAAATTCTACAAAGAGAAGTATATAAAGTTCCATGTACCTTCCCTTCAATCTACATTTCATTGTCTATTATTACCCCACATGTTGTTGTTTTAGTTGCTAAGCCACGTCTGACTTTTTTGTGACCCTCCCCGCCCCGGACCGTAGCCTGCCAGGCTCCTCTGTCCGTGGGATTTGTCAGGCAAGAATACTGGAGTGGGTTGCCATTTCCTTCTCCAGGGGCTCTCCAGGGGATCTCCAATCCCAGGGACTGAACCTGAGTCTCCTGCATTGCAGGCATATTCTTTACCACTGAGCTATCAGGGCTCCCATTATTATTCCATGTGCAGACTAATTTCTGACTAAAATAACTTAGAACTTTGACTTGTCCCTTTTCTATTTATTAGCTGTGCAGCCTTGGGCAAGTTACTTAACCACTGTGTGCTGACTTGTTTACACTGGAAATAACTGTACTGACCTTAAGCACTAAGGGCTAAGTCCCTTAAATAGGAAGGAATTCAATAAGTTACTATTATCCCTTTTTTAATGGCAAGGTTTTGCTCATCAGCCATCCCATGACTGGATTGTGAGTACTCTGAAGGCAGGGACTAACAGTGGCACAACTTTTCCAGTCTTGTGGCCACTGCTGGGTCTTCCGGATTTGGTGAAATAATGAATGCAAAACTTTGATGGCATCATCCTTTAGGGATTTGAATATTTCTGCTGGAATGTCATTGAATCCACTAGCTTTATTAAGAGCAGTGTTTCTTAAGGCCTACTTGACTTTGCTCTCCAGAATGTCTGGTTCTGGGTGACTAATCACATCATAGTAATCCAGTTCATTAAGATCCTCTTTATACAGTTCTTCCACATATTCTTTCCATCTCTTCTTGATCTCTTTAGCATCTATTAGGTCTCTACCATTTTTATCCTTTATTCTGCACATCTTGGGCAGAATGCTCCCTTAATGTTTCCAATTTTCCTGAAGAGATCTCTAGTCTTTCCCCTTTTGTTGTTTTCTTCTATTAAAAAGCACTGTTCATTGAATATTCACTGGAATTTTTACTGATGCTGAAGCTGATGCTCCAGTATTTTGGTCATCTGATGTGAACAGATAACTCACTGGAAAAGTCCCTGATGCTGGGAAAGATTGAGGGCAGGAGAAGAAGAGGGCGTTAGAGAATGAGATGGCTAGATGGCATCACTAATGCAATGAACATGAACTTGGACAAACTGCAGGAGATGGTGAGGGACAGGGAGGCCTGGCGTGCTGCAGTCCATGGGGTCTCAGAGTCAGACGTGACTGGGTGACTGAACAACAGCAGGACACAATAACCACTCAGTAAAAGTCAACTATTGATGGAAGAACTTTTCACATACTGAGGTACGGGCATGCCAACTGAGCGATTAACACTTTCACTACCTTCATTTATGCCAACTAGAACAGCAGGTCTTGCACTCCATCAAACATGCTTTGTACATCTGCTTTAATTACTGAAGAAAGGCTGCACTGTCCAGAAGTAAAAAAAAGTCCCCTTTGAAGATAGAGATAAACGCTTCCCTTTCTGGGACATCAATTCTAATCAATTCTACTACTCCTTCGATGATAAGGCTTCTTTCCTAGATGCCAGAGCCACACTGATTTGCTGTGTACAAGCTAATCTGTCTTTTCTCTCTTTTTTTGAAGTCTAAGAGAATGTACTCCTACCAGATTTGATGTTCTTTATTCTGAAAAGATACAAAACCGCTGAAAACCATGTTTTTCTGGATCAATTCCTCAGAGCTACTGAGAGGTTGACTAAGGTCCCCTGCTGCTGCTAAGTCACTTCAGTCGTGTCCGACTCTGCGCCACCCCACAGACGTCAGCCCCCCAGGCTCCTCCGTCCCTGGGATTCTCCAGGCAAGAACACTGGAGTGGGTTGCCATTTCCTTCTCCAATGCATGAAAGTGAAAAGTGAAAGTGAGGTCGCTCAGTCCTGTCCTACTCTCAGCGATCCCATGGACCGCAGCCTACCAGGCTCCTCCATCCATGGGATTTTCCAGGCAAGAGTGCTGGAGGGGGGTGCCATTGCCTTCTCTGACTAAAGTCCTCAGTTCTGCTCAAATAAAACTCTCTTCTAGTCTTACTGCAGATTGGTTATTGATTATTTCCTTTGACACTATTATAATCATGTCATAGTTTTTTTGCAGTTTTCTAAGCTCCTATAGAGCAGAACTATGCAGGGCATTTTCGGTTTCTTCTCTCAGTGTCTGCCAAAGCACAGTGGCAAAGGCTGAGCTGGGAAGGAGCATCCTGCTAGGGCCCTGGGGATGCGGTTCCGTAAACCTTTGACAGATGATGGTTATGAACGCGTGGAAAGCAAGACATGGAGAGATTGGACTGATGGCTCAATCTCCCAAATTATCTTTCACTATTCAAGTTAAAACCAAACTCTCCAGCATCGGATGCAGGCATCCAAGGACCTCTTGGTTCAGACTGTAAAAAAAAAAAAAAAAAAAATCCGCCTGTAATGCGGGAGCCCTGAGTTCGATCCCTGGGTTGGGAAGATCCCCTGGAGGAGGCATGGCAACCCACTCTAGTATTCTTGCCTGGAGAATCCCCATGGACAGAGGAGCCCGGAGTCCATCCGGTCGCAAAGAATCGGATACGACTGAGCGATTAGGCACAGCACAGGGACACAAAACCTGGGGAGGCGGGCTCAGGCGGAACCTTCGTCCTCAGCTCCAAGTTTCCCAGGACTCCACTTCAACCGATACACTCCCCAATAAACGGCCTTCTTCCCCACCCCAGAAGGCCTAACCCGAGAATGGGTTCCGGTATTTTCAACGAAACGACTAACGGACACCTCAACGATTGAGGACAGTTTCTCCAAGCAGCGTTAGCCCGGCGCGGGCCCATAAGTCCCCCCACATTTTTACGGCCCAGAGCGGAACTAGCTGGAGTCAGGAACCCAGGGCGCGTGCTCGGAGTGGAGGGAGCCCAACGCTCGCCACGCCCCCGCCCCGCCCTACCCCTCCCTCGACACGCCCCCCCAGACGCCGGTCGCCCGCCCCCCGCCGCCCTTGTTCCGGGACCCCTGGCTGCGCTTCTCCCAGACCCCCATGCGGCGGAAGCGATCTGGGATAGCCCGAACTCACTGTTACCCTGAGGAAGCCGGAAGAGACCGGGAAGCGGGGGAGAGCAGCAGAGGGTGGCGGAGCCCTCCATGCACGCCCAGGGAGACCAGGGAGATAGAGGGAGCGAGGCTGAGTTAGCGAGGGAGCGCGGGTTAGGTGAGCTTGGGTGCGACTTGAGCTCGGGACTGGTGGGCCAGGCCCCCACGCCGGCGTCACACCCGGTCCGAAGAAGACAGGCGGACGCATGGCCTCGTCATTCCTGCCCTCGGGGGCCACCACGGGCGACAGTGGCGGAGAGCTGAGCTCGGGGGACGACTCCGGGGATGTGGAATCCCTCCAGAGCCCCGAGATCGAGGCATCCAGGAGCCTGGCAGAGCTGTTTGAGAAGGCTGCCGCGCACCTCCAAGGCCTGGTGCCAGTGGCCAGCAGGGAGCAGCTCTTGTATCTGTATGCCAGGTACAAGCAGGTAAAGTAGCAGGGTGGGGCTGGGTGAGGGAGCGTGACCGTAAGCCTTCTCTTTCCTCCAGAAACACATGGTGAAAGTGCTTGGTTAATGGTCAGGTGTAGTGAAGTTTGTATGTGTGTGTGTGTGTGTTTTAATCATCTAAGGATTAGCTTCATTCTGGACAGGGAAAGGACCTGTCTGCTATCCTAGGAGCGATATTTAGCTGACACTGAGCGACAGTTTTTCTGGGTCTTTCCCGGCTTGTTTAGTGACCTTGCCCTTATGCCCTTCATCAGCTTCAGAACATTTACAAAATGGGTAAACAGTCAGAACTAGCTTGTAGCTCCTGAGTCTAAGGCTCTGAAATTACCTGGAGGTATGGAAATACAATAATGTCGTATGAGACACATTTTATTTATCCTCACAGAGTAATTGGTTTGGAAAAATTATTGCTTTATCATAATCAACAATACTTGTTTAGCGTATTTTATAGCAAAACACTTGGGTGTTATGCCTGTGGGGAATTCAGAGAAGCAAAAACATCATGATACTTGCCATCAAGAGATTTACAAAAGTTACCTGACGAGTTTAGATTTAAACATATGAAAAATTGCCGACAAGAGTTAAAAGTTGAGGAAGACTCCAGCTTTTGGAACACTGAAAGCAATGGAGTTCTGAATAATAGCCCATTTTATGCTTCTTGTTATCTATTTCTCCTTAAATTCTTTAAAAAGAAAGCTGTGGGGGTCCCTCTGTATCATTAACTGAATATACTGACTTGAGATGCAGATTCTTTTGAAGATCGATGAATATCAGTTAAAGTGACCTGAGAGATGTAGTTGTCAGGACAAATGGTATAAATTATAGTGTTCAATGAAAACTGCCCCTGAATTGGCCTCAGAATTTTTTCTCTTGCAGAAGTTCTGGATATCTATTTTCTCACTAGTCCTGTCCTAATAACATTAAAATGAGACTTTCAGTTATTTAACAAGAATTTATTGAGCATTGTGTTTGGACTAGTAACATGGCTGACTGATGATTCTCTGGGTAGGATAAGACTAATTTTCTCCATATTTCCAAGAAACATTGTTTTCCTCGCTATGACGTATCTTTCTTGATATTAGCATCAGCATCGTTAAATATCTGATACCAAGTCATCAGTGAACTGTCATCAGCTGGTCACCATTCTGTCTCAGGTGTACTTCATCCAGATAGTCTGGAAGAGGTGTGCATTCCTCACCCTCTTGACATTAGAGTGTTTAGAGATATTCTGTATCTGGAAATAAAATTCCTCTTTATGAGAGAACAGTTACTAGAGAATTGGAGAATAAGAGTATGCTTACTTAGGCATGTTAGGACATACAGTGTTCATCAGTCTCTTCTAAATGTTTCTATCAATTTATTTTGTTTCTATCAGAATTCTGTGGTGGTATTAAAAATAGCAGTCTGTGATAGAATAACAGAGTTGAGAATTCATTATAATTCCTGCATGGTGGATCAAAATTTCTCATAAAATAATTACATTTCTCATAAAATTGGCTTTTCTCATAATTTCACTTTGTATTCCAAATAGCACTCTTATTTTGTCAGCAGGTGAAGGCTAAAAATAAACTGAGCTGTGAACCTTGTTTTCTCAGGCAGAGGCCTAAACTTTCCTAACATAATAGTTCTCTTAGTCTCAGATAAGCCAATGGCTCCACTAGCATCTTTTAGTGGTTTCAAAAAGATCACAGCAGTTAACATTCATCAGCCTGCACTGTGCCAACCAAAGGTAACTGACTGACACCTGTGAAAACCCAAGGACAATGAAAATTTCAAACTCCTATTGAGATTTCAGCACCAGCACAAGTGGGGATACTCAACACATCTTCCTACTTTAACCTGGGTACACTTGACTCACTTGCATTTACCATTGGCTACCTTGATTGAAACAGTCTGTTTTAGGGGCCCTGAAAATATCATGTATATATCAGAGAGAACAGAGTTTAGGTGATGCTCTGTTAAAGTACTACATTTTATAACTCTGTTTCATAGCTTAGGACTCATTATCTAATGATTTGAAAAGTGTTACTAATGATGTCCTAGAATCCTGTAGTTTTATTTATCCAGTATTTTCTGGATCCCGAACTGTTCTTTGAATTTGGGAATACAAAAGCTTCTGTATCAGGATACAGGATCAGCTGCTGAACTTTTAGTTTCCTCTCACATGATGGGCTGGAGGTGGGTGATCTCGGGCTGATAGGGTGCTCTGCTTCATGCACTCATCCAGGCGCTCAGTCTTTTCCTGTCTTATAGTTTAGCCCCTCTCTAGGGCAGCAGTTCTACAGACCCCCCTGAGAATCCCTCAGACTTCAGAGAATATAAAGTCAAAGCTATTTTCATAATAATACTAAGACACTACAGGCATACCTCAGAGATATGAGGCTTTGGTTCTAGACCACTGCAATGAAGCAAATATCACAATAAAGTGAGTCACATGAATTTTTTGGTTTCCCAATGCATATAAAAGTTGAAGTGTTCATCGCTCAGTCATGTCTGACTCTCTGCGACCCCATGGACTGTAGCCCACAAAGCTCCTCTGTGGAATTCTCCAGGCAAGAATACTGGAGTGGGTTGCCATTTCCTTCTCCAATATAAAAGTTATGTCTACACTATACTGTAGTGTATTAAGTGTGCAGTAGCGTTATATCTAAAAAAATATGCATACCTCAGTTAAAAAATAGTTTATTGCTAAAAGTGCTAACCATTGTCTGAGCCTTCAATGACTTGTCATATTCTTGCTAGTGGAGGGTTTGATATATTGGGAGAATTAGCAAAATGTGACCTAGAGACATGAGGTGAGCTAATGCCAATAAACTTGCTTGATACAGGGTATCCACAAACCTTCAATTTGTGAAAAATGCAGTGTCTGCAAAGCACAATAAAGCAAAGTGCAATAAAACGAGGTATGTTTGTATTTGCCTTTTTTCTGTGCTGTCATGGTGGATAAAACTGCTGATGTGTTAGCATGAATCAAGGCAGTGGCAGCAGTAGTATTTTTTAACTTTTTTTTCCTTTTTACCACTGTGTGCTCTGAATTTAAGTTGGACCATAAAGAAAGCTGAGTGCTGAAGAATTGATGCTTTTGAACTGTGGTGTTGGAGAAGACTCTTGAGAGTCCCTTGGACTGCAAGGAGATCCAACCAGTCTATCCTAAAGGAAATCACTCCTGGGTGTTCTTTGGAAGGACTGATGTTGAAGCTGAAACTCCAATCCTTTGGCCACCTGATGCAAAGAGCTGAGTCATTTGAAAAGACCCTGATGTTGGGAAAGATTGAAGGCAGGAGGAGAAGGGGACAACAGAGGATGAGATGGTTAAATGGTATTACTGACTCAATGGACATGAATTTGGGTGGACTCCGGGAGTTGGTGATGGACAGGGAGGCCTGGTGTGCTGCGGTTCATGGGGTTGCAAAGAGTCAGACACAACTGAGCGACTGAACTGAACTGACTGACTCTGAATTTAAAAAGAAAAAGGCCAGTTTCACTTTAAAATGCCTTTGATAAAGCAGTAAAACTTACTGATTTTATTTAATTTTAACTCTTGAATACAAGTCTTTTTAATGTATGTGATGAAATAGGGGTACACACAAAATATGTCTCCTGCATACTGAATTATTGTTGGCTGTTTTGAAGAAAAAAGCCTGTGTAAATTTTGAGTTGCAAGTTGAGCTACCCACTTTTCCCAACATATATGACTTTTACTTAATACAGCAACTTACAGATAAACTATGCTTATTCAAGCTTGAGTATTTGGCATACAGTTTCTTGAAAATGAGAGAAGTCAGACTGTCATTTAAAGGAAAACAACTGCTGGTATTTGTTGCCAGTGACAACATTTGAGTGAAAATTAGGTTTGGAAAATCTGTACCTGCCACCTGAACTTGACAGGTTCCTAATACTAAAAAATGTTTTTGATAGATTAGTGCTGGCTTTAGTGATTGTGAACTTTTACTGTTGTGTGTATAATGAAATAGGTCAACATTTGGAAGATCTGCATAACTCAGTGAACTATTTTCAAATGTTGCAGGGAATGAAGTTACAGATTATGTGTGGATAGAAGATGCATTCAAAGTATGCGAGTCCGACCAATGGATTTTAATGTAACAGTATAAAAAATTTGTTGATATGGTTTCAGATTCCACATTGTGAAAAAAAGAAAAGGAAATGAAGTCACTCAGTTGTGTCCAAAACTTTGTGACCCCAAAGACTGTTGCCTGCCAGGCCCCTCCGTCCATGGGATTTCCCAGGCAAGAATACTGGAGTGGGTTGCCATTTCCTTCTCCAGGGGATCTTCCAGACCCAGGGATCGAACCCAGGTCTCCCACATTGCAGGCAGATGCTTTACCATCTGAACCACCAGGGAAGAATCTTTAAGAAGCTATTCTTAAAGAAACTGCCACTTGTTGAGATTTGATGTGATATCAAAGAAGAATATCTACAGTTATCTCAAAATGCTACTAAAATACTTCTGTCTTTTCTAACAATGTACCTGCGTGAAGTTGTTTTCTTCATCCAAAACAATGTATCACAATAGACTGAATGCAAAAGTAGAATACACCTGCCTTCTATTAAGGCAGATAGTAAAGAGATTTGCAAAATGTAAAACAGTGTCACTTTCCTCACTAAATATTTTTTGCCTTAAAATATATAGTCACTTTTCATAAAATTTTGTTATTTATGTTAACATGTAACAAGTTTATTATTTTTAAAATTAATGCAGATTTAAAAATATCTTTTCATTTCTAATCTGGTAAATATTGATTGATATAATCCACATAAACAAAAACTCTTTGGGGGCTCAGTCTCTAAGAGTGTAAAGGGATTACAAGACTGAAAAGTTTTAGAACTGCTGCAGTAAGATCTTCTTTCCATGATCAGTTCTAGCCTGGGCAGAGGGAAAGGGAACAAGTCCCTCTTTCTTTTTAAGGAAGATATTTATATCACTTTTACACACATCCAGTTCCCTGGGCCTCGGTTGAAGTTGCATGGCCACAAAATGTTCAGCTCAATGATCTTGTGTCTGGCTGAGACTTCTATCACTGTAGGAGAAAAGAAGGATAGGCATTGGCATTTGTTTCTGCCACTGGCTGTTGTCTGGATGAAAAAACACAAAGTAATAACCACTGTTTTTATGATGCCTAATAGTTATCTCATTTCCTATTTCTAACAATCCAGTAGTTCAAGTGATTTTTATTTATTTATTTATTTATTTTTTCAAGTGATTTTAGAGATGCCGGAATGGAAGCGTGGATTCTATGTAGCATATGAAAAAGACTGATGTATAGTAGAGAGGAGTACTGGACTTTGGTGTCAGTCCTGGAGTCAAGTTTTGACTCCTGATTCAAGATTTATAAATGTGTGAGCAGTGACAATCCTCAGCTTCTCTGTACTCATTTATAGAATAAGTACGTAACAAGCCTAACAGGATTGTTTTGTGGCTCCTTTGACTTAATGTGAAGCCTTTGGTTTATGGTGATGGTCTAAGAAATGCAGCTCCTGCTCTTTCATCCTTTTTTCTCCCTGTCCCTTCCTCGCTGGACTGCCCCTGTGTCACTGTACATTTTAATAATGACCAGAGAGCCGTGCGTTAATTACTAAGCAGATAATAGAGACAATAGTTGTTAGGAAATCAGAGCTGAATGAGATCGTTGTAGACTGAAAGGGTTCCTTAGAATCTGAACCTTGAATGGTACTGAAAGGAGGTGTAGCACTTTAAAAAGTGGAGGGAAGAAGGTGAGGGCTTTTCATTTGAGAGAAATAGCATGAGAAAAATAGAATAAAAATGAAAATTCTTAAGGCAGTTGAGTAGACCAGTCTGGTTAATGAGCAGACCATCAGTTTGATTTTAGCAAAATGCATGTGTTAGGAGTATCAGGAGGTAGTGGGAAGGTCCCAGAGAAGTAGGTAGGGTTCAGATTGTGGTATTTAGCTTTAGGGAGATAGTGGGTAGGTATTTTGTTGAACACATGCCTAATGTATACATTCCACATGCAACAAACATTTCTTTTTTTTACTGCCTTCAGTTAGACACTGTGTTATGTGCAATGAGTGGCTTAAGAATAGTTTCTTAGAGTTTATTCTTATAGAAAGATGAGACTATACAAACCTCGCTAACACAAGGGAAATGTGAAAAGTGTCATCACAGAGAGGGAGAAAGTGTTGTGAGAGTTCATCAGAAAGGGAGATTACTTGTGGCAGGGGTAATCGAGGTGTGCAGTAAATTCTAACTTGTGTGAATTTCATTTATGCTTATTCATAATGCAAATAATCACTGTGTAGTTTAAGAAAAGATTATTGTGGAATAGATAGAATTTATAGAATTTGTTGTTGAGAACTTTGAAGTTTTTTCATGGCTTTTAGCATCTAAATTTATACTGACTAGTTTCATAAACTTGAAAATAGTGTGTTTTATTCTGGAGTTTGAGAGAGAGAAAATGCTGATAGTGTTGAGAATCAGCATAAACAGACTATGATGAATTCTGATAAACTGTACTTTAAAGCTTGTTTATTGCATATTTAAGAATTCTTCTACATTATAAATGGTAGCACGATTACAAAATCTGTCATTTGTTATATATATATATATATACACACACACATATATATACAGTTTGTCTAATTTAGGAATGTAACTGTTTATCATTCATTTTTTAAATGTGTTATACTGTTAGTTAACAGTTGTTTAATGCAATAAGCCAAAGTAGCCTCTATTTAAAGTTCATTTTTTTAGTTTGCTTTTGCAAAGAATGTTACATTTTATTATTTTATATAGTTGTAGATATTTTCTAACCTATAGTTACAACATATATGTAATAGATTTAAAAATTAAAATTTTCTCAGGCAGTTCTTTGAAAAATAAGTTCTTGATTTTATCTCTGCCCACCCCCTTCATTTAGGTCAAAGTTGGAAATTGCAATACACCTAAACCAAGCTTCTTTGACTTTGAAGGAAAGCAAAAATGGTAAGAAATTCTTGGGATCTAATGTGGTTGTTGTAAAGGGTTTAGGTGTTTAGGAATTAGAAAGTAGTGAGCAGATTAAAGAATTATTTTTATATTAATCTCTTTCTGCTGTAGGCAGTGCTAATGATAGGCCGTTGGGAGAGAGATTAAAAGAAGCCGATTTTAGATAAGTCTTCTAAAGGATTCTTAATGCTTTGATGTTGGTATATAAGTAGTTCACAACCAATATACATTACTCACATATGAATCACTTCTTAGAGAGTGACCATAAGAGCTGTTGCTTGAAATTTTCCTTCCTTATCATACAGCCCCTAATGGGTCACTACTTCTGTCTGGAGGGGTCTTGGAAGAAGGTCAGGAGGATGGGAAGGGAGAAGAGCAGAGCAAATCCCTATATTTTACTCTTTTTTCCCCTTCCCAATTTTTTCTCCTCATCTCTAATGCTCTTCTGTTCCTTGCCTACCATGGTAAAAAAGTACTTCTAATAACCTCTTGAGCAGAGGGAGAAAGAAAGATAGATACTGAGCCTACTTCTTTCCTGAATACTTAGAAAGATTATGCCCTCTTAGAGTTTTTTTTTAAATTATAATTCAGAGATTACATCCAGTCATATGAGGCCTTATGTCCTCCTACCTTTAAGTGAAAAGAGAGAAGTCATATACAGTAGGGAAACTTACAGAAGAAAGGACTTTGGAGCATCCGCCTGAAATTAAAGTAGAGAGGGAAGGGTTTAAAAAGAAAAGGTTAAATATGGTTGTAGAGAGAAGAAACACTAAAACTGGATTCTCACCTTCTTTCTAGAGCAGTGCTCCTCAAAATGTGGTTCCCTGAACAAGTTGCCTGTCTGGGAACTCTTTGTCACCCAGCTGTGAGGAGATGTAGATCTTGAACCTGAAATGCAAATCAGTAATGACATTAAGCACAATTATTTGGTTCAGCTGACTTCTTTTGTGTAGAACATTCTCAGTGAAGGAAGATGTGCTTTGATTTTCTTTCTGGCTCAAGCTTCCTATGCTGATGATAACAAATAGTTCTCTGACTGGCATTTTATTACTGTTACAAGACTACCTGATATATATTTTGTGAGTTTTTAAATTTATGAATTATAACTTCACCATTACTTTCTCCCCTGCGTTTTCCTATTTTTTCATTGTTTTTAGTAGTTTTTAAAAGTTTAGACTTTACAATTACAATAATTCAGGCAAGAATCATCAATAGATGCTGAAACCATTAGATGAAAAACAACTTGGGGACAATATTCACACGATCTGATCCCGAGTTTACTTATTAATTACAAAGAGAAAACCTGGAGATACTGCTTGTACTAAATCCTGACTCTCATCACTAATGATGGGACAGACTGCTGTCATGTTCCCCCTGATGTGATGAATTGTAAATGACATTTCACCTATATGTTGCGCTTGCCAAATATTTCACCTGATTGTAATCATGATTAATCATTTTTGGCAAGAAAACTCTCTAGGTGAGGAAGCAATCAGACAAATGCAGATTGAAAGATATTTTATAAAACACCTGGTTCGAACTGTTAAAATATCGGTATCATGGAAGACAAAAAGACTAAACACACTTGAAACTCAGTGTTAGGTGTGAATTTTGATTGGCTCCTCATCTGAAAAAAGAAAACTTTAATAAAGAACATTTTGGGGAAATCTAAATACAGTTCATATACATTTATTTAATAGTATTAAATAATGAAATTTCTTTACTTTGAAGAATGTATATTTGGGGTAAAGTGTTACCATGTATACAAGTAAATTTCAAGAGATTAAAAATAAATTTAGGAAACCTCAGAAAGGTGTTATGTCCATGGTAAGAGCAGGAAGGTAATGGGAAAACTCTGAGACTGAGTTATCTCTTACAGTGGATCAGTGACTGTGCCTCCCAGTTGGAGGTAGAAAGAATTGGCCGGGAAAAGCCAAGGAGGAGGCCTGGTCTAGCAGCTGGCAGAAAAGAAGAAAAGGAACTTGCAGAAGGGGGCTCAGGACTAAAATATTGCTCTTGGTTATTGAACTGCAGGAAGCCCCTACCTTCTCATTCATTAGTACTCTTCTCTGTCTTCGCTGCCCCCTCAGTTTTGAAGTCCCTGCCCAAGGCCTCAGGATATACTACTGGCAGCTTAGAGATGAGATAACAGCAGGAGGGAAAGGTGTACTTCTCAAACCTTAAAATAAGACGTTGGAAGCATTTCCCACAGAATATTGTTTCATGTGATGAATAGTGAACATATTATTGAAATGCCATAAACAGTTAATTCATTAGATGGGAACTACTCCCATTGTCTGTAGACCATATATTCTCAGCAGGGGTGAAATTTGGGTTTGAGGGAGTTTTAAAATCTTAGATATTACAATAGTTTATGTCTTCTTAAATTCAACAAATATGCCATATATATTTTAAAATTTCATGGGAAGGGTGATTGGGGGAAAAAGTATCTGCAAGGGCTCCTTAGGTGGGCTGATAAGGTCTGTATTGCTATGGACCAATGTAAAGGCAAAAAGAGAAGGCTCTGTGTCTATGGCTTATTACATCTTGTGACCATTAAAAACATGTGCTTTTTTCTCAATAATAACAAGAAATATACTATTTGTGTTTCTTACATCTTTAATGATAGGCCGTTTTGTATATTGCTGCAGGGAAGCGTGGAAAGCGCTTGGTGATTCAAGCCCCAGCCAAGCAATGGAGGAATATATTGCTGTCGTTAAAAAATTGGATCCAAGTTGGAATCCTCAGGTAAGACTTAATGATTATAAATAACACTATCCAAAAAAAACACCATCTTTCTCTCAAATAAATGTTAAAACTATGCTGTAGGCTTAAGTAACATCCTTTGAGTTTTATTTTCTCAAATAGAAAGATTATAAAGTTATTATAATATTTATCTATATAAAAATGCTATTGCTTACATGGTAATATAGCCAGCTACTGATATTGAGAACTCTGAATTATGGAGAATTTTTAAAAGCATAATTGTAAATCATGTAAAAGTTCCATTCATTTTAGAATTTGAAAGAGTGTAACTTGAGCTCATATTATTATCTTCAGAAATGGTAGGATTCTCTTCTTTTTTTTTTTCTTTTTTGTGAGCACCTTCTATTCAAGTATAAAATGCTTATTGCTAGGGGTAAAATATGAATGACATACTTTCTGTTACTATGTAGTTTAAGGTACATTATAAGGCTTCCCTGATAGCTCAGCTGGTAAAGAATCTGCCTGCAATATGGGAGACCTGGGTTTGATCCCTTGGTTGGGAAGATCCCCTGGAGAAGGGAACAGCTACCCATCCAGTATTCTGGCCTGGAGAGTTCCATGGACTCTATAGGCCATGGAGTCTCAAAGAGTTGGACACAACGGAGTGACTTTCACTTTGACAAGGTATATTATAGAAGATAAAGCATATGAAAAATAGAGTAATAGTATAAAACAATAATAAGGTGAGTGCTAAATTATCCAGTGGAAGAAGAGATTACTTTGGACTTTGGGGGAACTTGTTTCATTGTTACATATTTATTACCAGTATGAAGGATGGAATCAGTGATGGAATCTTAAAATGTCAGAGTTATAAGGAACCTTAAAGATGTAAATGTTATGACATATAAAATATATATCTTAATTGTGAGTACAAAGTGGGAAAGATAACCAACTTAGGATATCTCTAATGATATGACTGCTATAAAACATCATTTGTATACAGATATATACCATGAAGGTTGTGAAAGGAGTTAAAAATCTGAAATTCAGTGGTGAGAACAAGTGCCTCTCTGAACTGGACTCGGCCTGAATACAGATGGCACAATATTTAAAAGAAACAAAAACAAGACTTGAATTTGCGTGCCTCTAAGTGAGTCCTTACTCTTCAGGTCCAGCCGCTGTGGTCTCAGTTCTTCCCTATCGACTTATACGTGACTCTTTCTGATTGCCTGGCTTTATGTAGGCATTTGAGTTTATAACTTTTGATAAATGACAGAATTTTTGGCTTCTATCCTCAGTGCCTTAATTCTAAGTAAAATTCCATTAACTATGACTATTACAAATGCTTGCACAGTCCATGTAGTTAAGGTAGTTTTTCCTTATGGAAACCCAAATGGACATGAAGGATATTTTAAAAAAATCTATATCTTACCTATTTAATTTGTGAAACTTGAGTAAACAGAGCCAAAGATACATACTTTTCAAGTAAAAATGACTCTTTAATACATGATTCTAAAAATATGTTAACATCATAATCTAGTTGTAAAGAGAACTTTTTTGTTTCATTTACATTGTAATTTTTAGTTTAAACACTCTGAGCTGGTACCTTTGACTCATAGCTTTTTTCCCCACATGTTTTTGATTGGTGTGGGGCCGGACCCTAATCTCGATCTCAAGAGATTTGATATTTAGTTCATTATGTTTTAGGTTAAAAGAATCATTTTCTTTTGATATTTGCTTCTAAAGATGATGAAATAATAACAGCTCTCATGCTGAATGTGTCCTTTGCATATATTGCCCTTTGAAACCTTCTTAAGAATTTTAAGACTTAGAAACTATTATTGTCTGCCTTTTAAAAAAGGAAATTCAGGCACAGAGAGGCTTAGTAACTTGCCCAGATTAGCCAGCTAATAAATGATATAGCTGGGATTTGGACCTATGCCTTTATAAGTCCACATCCCCACTCTCAACCACTCTGCTCTCTGTTCCATAGCTGACATAATGTGTATTAGAAAAGAGCATGTGGGGAGGGAGTGATGGGGAGTGGATGAATTGGGAGGTTGGGCTTGACATACAACACTACCTTTGTATGAAATAGATAATTTAGGGGAACCTACTTTATAGCACAGGGAACTCTGCTTGGCGCTCTGTGGTAAGCTAAATGGGAAGAAAATCCCCCCAAAATGGGATATACGTACGGCTGATTCACTTTGCTGTATGGCAGAAGCTGACATAGTGGTATAAAGCAACTATACCCCAGTAAAAGAAAACAACAACCCTAAACCTTATGAGAGATCCTGGGCTAGAACCATCTTGCTAAAAACTTCGTGCATTTGAGTTTATAACTTTTGATAAGTGACAGAATTTATGATTTCTTACCTTCAATATCTTATTCATCACCTCCCATATTGGTCATGTTTTTTTGTGTGTGTCTATAGTGAGAACACTTGAAATCTACTCTCTAAGCAAATTTCATGTACAGAATACATTGTTATTAATTAGTGTGTTTATTGGTAACTAATAATAGTACATTATACTGTCTTGATATAACTTTTTTAAAGTTTTAAGAGTAGCACAAGGAACTCTTGGATGGCGTTTGTCTAGTTATGCCAGTAGTTTACACTTGTTTTATCATTTTCTATCTACCTGTACATACATTTGAATAAGTTTTCTCTGAATTATTTTATTATTTTTGAGCCATTTTAGAGGAGTTATAGACATCATGTCCCTTTACTGCTTAATGCTTCAGTACATTACTATACTGCAGTTATCAAAATTGGTCATTGGTGGTTTTTTTGGTGTCAAGAGTACCTATAAGGCATGCATATGTGTGTGTGTACGTATGTGTAGATATGTGTTAAAATAAAAATTATAAATGTATATTTAAGGTATACAACATGATTTATGTGTACATACATGGTGACATGATTACTATAGCTGAACTAACTAATATATCGTCTCTCACAGTCACCTTTTCTCTCTGTGTGTATGAGAAGAGCACCTGATATTTACTCTCTTAGCATATTTCCAATATTCAATACAGTATTATTAACTGTAGTCATTATGCCTGTAGTAGACTTATTCATCCTATAGAACTGCAACTTTGTATCCTTTGACCAGTATCTCCCCATTTTCCCTAGCCACTGGTAAACACCATTCTATTTTCTGTGTCTATGAATTTGACATTTTCATTTTTTTAGATTCTACATATAAGTGAGATCATATGATATTTGTCTTTCTCTGTCTGGCTTATTTTACTTAGCATGGTGTCCTCCCAGTTCATCTGTATTGTCATAAATGGCAGGATTTTCTTTTTTCTCATGGCTAAATAATGTTCCATTGTTTGTGTGTATACACACACACAACACATCTTGTTTATACATTCATCCATACATGGACACTCAGGTCTTTCCGTATATTGGCTATTGTGAATAATGCTCAATAAACAATGAGAGAGCAGATGTCTGAGGTTCTGATTTCATTTCCTTTAGATGTATACCCAGAGGTGAGATTGCTGGGAGTTCTATTTTTAATTTCTTGAAGAACCCATAATGTTTCCATCATGGCTATACCAATTTACATTCCTACTGACAAATAACAATGATTCTCTTTTCTCAAAATCAGGAATTTTAACATTCATTCAATATTATTTTCAAATTCATAGTCTGTATTCCAGTTTATCATTTATCTAAAATGTCTTTCACAGTTATGTTTTAAAATTCTGATCAATCTTCCAGTCCAGGTTCATGCATTGCATCTAGCTGCCATGTCTCTTTAGTCTCCTTTAATCTGAAGTGGTTTCTCAGCCTTTCCCTCTTGACTGTCATGTTTTTGAAGAATATAGGCCAGTTAGTTTGTAGAGTGGCTCTCAATTTGGATTTGTCTGATGCTTCCTCGTAATTAGATCTGGATCATTCCATTTTTGGCAGGAATACCACAGAATTGTGTTCTTCTCTATGCATTATACTGGAAGATACATGATGTCTGTTTGTCCTCAAATTGGTTATGTTAACTTTAATCACCTGCTAAGGTGGTGTCTGTCAGATTTCTCTACTGTAACATTTCTCCCTGCCCCCTTTGAAATTAATGAGTAATTTGTGGGGTGATACTCTGAGACTGTGTAAATATCCTTTTCCTAATCAGATTTCACTCACTAGTTTTAATATCCGTTAATGGTATTCTGACTCCATCATTCCTTCCGCATTTATCATTTGGCATTCCACTGTGAGGATGGGATTTCCCTTCTCCTCTATTTATTTATTTACTCATTTCCAAAAACTGTGAAAGGATTCTACCCTACTTGCAATTTAATAAGATAGCCCATTACTATTTCTTAGATACTGGCAGAGGTACAAGACTCCTGGGTCTGAGCCAAAGGACTTTATTATTCATGGCATGGCAAACAACATGAGCTTCGTTGGATTTGTGTCACATTCTTGTGTCCCCTAAGTCCCACAGGGATGACACAGGTGGGCCTAGATGGATTCCTGCATACACAGTGTGTTGTGCCATAGGGAAGGAGCACTGAGCTTTGGGGAGTCATCACTTTCATAGCAGGTAGAAGCAAGCCTGCTATTTTTCAGGGGTGTGGAAGAAATTACCTCGTCCCTGATGGTGGCTTACTGTACACACAACCCTGAGAAAAGGCCAAGATAGAAGTAATCAGAGCCTGGCATACTAAACATGAATGTGCAGGGGTGCTCAGGGCACCTGATTGCCTCACCCATTATAGTCAAGAATATACTCATAGATTTGTGTTTTATTCAATAGTAATATCATTTACCATCATTGTTTGGCCACTGAAAGCCATTCACGATGGCTCCCATGTCCTTTTGATATGTCCCCATCATTCTTTGAACACTTTTCTTTCTGGCATGTTTCAGGCTGTTATCAGTCTCCTAGGGTTGCCATAGCAAAGTACCACAAACTAGTAGTTTAAAACAGCAGAAATTCTTTCACAGTATAGGAGGCCTGAAATTATGCTGGTAGCAGAGCCATGCTCTCTTTGAAAGCTTCAGGGAAGAGTCCTTCCTTGCCTCTCA